ACATTACTATAAGCCAGGCATGGTGATGCATGCCTGCGATCTCAGCACTCTGTGAGGCTGAGGCTGGAGGGCTGCAAGTTGAAGTCCAGCCTGGGCAACTTAGCAAGACCCTGTTTCAAAATTAAAAGCGAAGAGCCAGGTTCATTCCCCAGAAACACACACACACACACACACACACACACACACACACACACACGGAACGAAGTCTAGACCAGTGTGCTGCACTCAGCAAGCGCTTAGCGATGGGAGCGTCCCTTGCTACTGGGGCACTGCGTAGGAGTTTCACAGTATGACACTGTCACCGCGTTTGAGGTAATGATAGTCTCTCCATCTCCAACCTACAAGTCCTTCAGAGTGGTGCGCAGTCCTCATTTGGATATTCTTTTAGAACCATTTTAAATGGTCTATGAATTTATGAATATAATAGTGCTCATTCAAACTTTTACAGAAATGAATGCTGCATAATTTGTGTTTGTTTCCAATGACACAGTAATAAAAATAAAATATAGCATCCTGTCTCAGCCTCCCACAGACTGGGATCACAGGCGTGCGCCTCCCAGCCCCGCAGCGCCCTCTCTTTCTCTGCGGAGCTCCTTTCCCTCCTCCGGGTTAGCGCCCTTTCTCTGGGTTACCTCTGGGGAGATTGCGAAGACGGCCACCAGGGGGTGCGAGTGAGCAGAGCCGGTCCCTGCGAGCTCTCTGTGGTGCCCACACGCGTTCTCCAGGGAGGTGGGAGGATAAACAGTGTCTGGGCGGTAATCAGTGCTGTGGAGCCTGGCCTCAGCTCTGCTCAGCCTCTAGGGAGCCCGCCCTCTGGTTGCTCTGGATTTTTCACACTCGCTCCTTCCCGCCGATAAGGGGCCAGGATTCACCACCTCTAACACAGAGGGCGTCGCCCTTTCCCGTCTTCCTCCAGCAGGTTCGGGGAAGAAATTTGGGCCCAGTCAGGGGCCACTCAAAAAGTGAACGCGACGTGCCTGCCTACAAGTTTAAGAACTGAAAATTCTTGAGCCATAATGTTCCAGATCTTAAGGGCATTCGTTGCCCAGACCAAGGAGGCAGAAACCAGTGTCACCCCCTCTGCCCAGCGCACAGGTGACACGCTGAGCGGGTGGCCGCCTTCCCAGCCTTACACGCCAGGGGGCGCTGGAAGCAAGGGTCATGGTCTTCCCAGTTCAAACTGTGCAGTTTCAGCGTCTGGACAGGACTGGAAGTCAGACGACTAAATCACGGTTCTTTTGGTGCCCAATGAATTGATCCCGAGCAAGTCCTCTGATTTGATCTGTTTCTCCATTAAAAAAAAAAAAACAACAACAAGAGGGCCTGCCCCTTAGCTCAGTTCTTTAAGTGGCTGCTTCAACAAAGCAGTCAGGCTCAGGTTGCTGTGGTTCGATCCCCACAACTCAAGCCAGCCAAACCTGCCCAGAAGGCATTCGGAACAAAAAGAAAAAAACAAAACAAACAAACAAAAAAAAACCACAACAAAACAACCTGGGGAGATTAGGTGCGGTGGTGTGTGCCTGTAATCCCAGCTCTTGGGAGGCTGTAAACAGGCGGATCACCACAAATCTGATCTAGTAGTAGACCCTGAACACACAGTAGACCCTTCCCTAAAATACACACACACACACACACACACACACACACACACACACACACACACAAATTCCTATAAAAAGTAAAAAACTAGGGGCTGGGGATAGCCTTTTATCCCATCTTGGAAACAGGGATTGAACCTAGGACCTTCACACTGAGATACATCCTAGCCCCCCCCCTTTTTTTTTTAATTTTTAACTTTGAGACAGTCTTCCTAAGTTTCCCAGGCTGGTCTCAAATTTGTGCTCTTCCTACCTCAGCTTCCTAGGGTCTTGGGAGTAAAGGCTTGCACTACCGTGCCCAGCGGGGATTTTCTTCCACAGCGGGAGTGAAGAGTAATCTCCAGTGTTTCTGAGCTGGGTGACTGAAGGGAAGGTTTTCCGGTCCTGGTGGGGAGGGGGTGGAAGAGGAGGGGCCTCGGGAGCCCAACTGCACCTTAGGTTTGGGGCGCTCGCCTGTTCGTAGGTGGAACGATGGATTCTGACGATAAGGCTGCGCTGCGAAGGCATGTGTGTTATGGTTTGTGTCAAGGTGTCCCCCAAAGCTTTGTAGGGTTTTTTCTTCTTTTGGAGGTGGCTGAATCTAGAACACATGACTGATCCACAGTCATAGTACGATGCTGGGATTCAGGCACCGAGCGTAGGGTGGGTGACTGCTGGATCAGCCCACTGATCGGATGGGCACCGCCCCCACCCTGGTAGACTGGATACCGGATAAGGGATAGAAAAAGGCTGTCTTCTCCCTTCTTATCATGCTGCTGCTGCTCTTTGTGGACACAGCTCTTTCCCTCTGTGCCCCTCTACCAAGCCACCCTGCCTTGGAGCCAGCCAATTATGGACAGAAACCTCTACACAGTGTGGGCCAAAGAAACCTTTCCTCCTTTAACTTTAGGTATTGAGTATTTTGTCTCAGCAGTAAGGAAATAACTGAGACGGAGTGCTTGCTTCTGGGGATGGAGGGAATTGGAGCCACCCTGCAATATGTCACAGCAGGCAAAGGGGCCGGCAGAGTCATTAGATTGTGATTAAATCTGATTTTACGGAACAACCCCGGTGGTGTGGCAGGCGTTGCATACGTAACATATGCTGTGCTGCTACTCATTAGGCCTCGCCACGCCCAACATCACAGGTCCTGTCGCTGTGCCCAGGTTCAGATGAACAAATGGAGGCCCAGAGCTGAAGCAGTTTTCCCAGGGTTTTGAAGGTAGGAAGGACGCTGTGCTGGAACAAGAACCCAAGTAGTCTAGCTTCAGGCTCTCTGTACTCAGCCACTAAGTTGAGTAATTCACTACTTGAATTATTATTTTAGTATATATGGACAGCTGTTGTCATCACTATTATCACAAAGCAGGAGATGTCTGTGGGGAGAAAAGTGTATGCAAAACAGACTCGATCACCCCTTGTGCCTGTCGGCTGGTGCCTCCCCACGGCTATTCCCTCCCTGACTACCTGGTTTGGCTCAGATGCTTGCTGAAGCATTGTTGCCCTGGGGAAAACTCCTCTGAAACCCAGGAGACCCTCTGCTACACATTCCTACAGCGCCACACAGTCCCCCTCTGCTGCAAAACCACAGTAACATTTATGTTACTGAGTTTCATATTGTCCATGTTAGGGACTAAACCTGGGGCTTCATGCTGTGCCTCCAGGCTACTTCTCAGCCCCTTTGCGGGACACTTTCAAAATTGTTGCCCAAACATTACTTTTGCCGTGCAATCAATCGCTTCAGCAATATGGAGTGTATTCTCATTGTTATGCAACAGGTGTCTAGAACTTTTCGCCTTGCAAAACTGGAACTCTGCCTCCATTAAAAACTAATCTCTTTCCTTCCCTCCACTAAGCTTTTGGCAGTCACCTTTCTGGTTTGATTTGGTTTTTCAGGCAAGATCCTGCTCTGTAATTCAGCCTGGCTGTGAACTCACTGTGTGTCCCAGGCTGGGCTTGAACTCATGGTGGTCCTCCTGCCTCAGCATCCTGAGTGCTAGGATGACAGACATGTGCCACCAGGCCTGGCTGACATTCATCTTTCTACTTTCCCTTTGATAGTTTCTGGCCCTAGTATGAATTGCTGAATTATTTTGGTGGTCATCTAATATGGCTGAAGCCCTTAAAACAACAGCTCATCTTCCCAGAGACCACCTCCCCACTGCTTCTCCAACCCAGCCAGGTGCAGTTTCCTTTCCTACCGCCTCAGGAAAGACCTTAATCAGCTCCTCAGATATTTCTAAAGCATCCCCCTCAAACTCCACCCTAACGAAAGCCTACGAGAGCCTCAGTTTTCTTTGTCTCAGGCCAGAGGATCGACCTGACCCATCTGCCCTCCATTCTCTCCATGACTTTGGAGTCAATAAAGGCTTCTTTTATCTTTCCTATCTCTTTACAGAGCTGCTGAAAAATCTATCACTGTTTCCATGATTTTGTGTTTATCTTCAGATAAGTTCTCACTAAGTTGCCTAGACTGGCCTTGAATTTGCAACCCTCTGCCTCAGCCTACCAAGTAGCTGGGACTACATTTGTGTGCCAGCTCTCAGGCATGCTTCTGTGAATTTTGACTGCTTTAGTACTTTGTATGGGTAGAACTGAACTGTGTCTGTCCTTTCATGCCTGAGTTATTTCTTAGTGTCCTTGAGGATCATCTGTCACAGCAGCTGAAATATTTAAGCCCTGCGCCCTATTCCACCCTAAGAACAGACTTTTCCACATTCTCCTTTATGTATCTGTGGGTCGACATTTGGGCTGCTTACCACTCTTCACCATTGTGAATAATGTCGCAAAGAACAGGGGTATGCGAAAGTCATTTTGAGATCTGCTTTGAGTCCAGGGGGGGTACCTACCCAGGCGCAGGGTTAGGGGATTTTAGGAGAGTTCTGTTTACAGTTTTCCAAAGCAGCTCCCTGCCGCCTTCCACCGCTGCACCAACTTTCCGGCAGTGTACCATGTCCCCACCTCTACCTGTTTTCTGTTGTTTTGGTAGTGGGCAGGTAATGGGTGTTTTCAAATTGTGATGTGTGTGTGTGTGTGTGTGTGTGTGTGTGTGTGTACACACACCTGCACCAGTATGAGGACTGAACCCAGGGCCTTCACACTGAGCTACATCCTTAGCCCTTTGTATCTGTCCTTTGAGGCAGGGTTGGGCTGGAACTTGCAGTCTTCCTGTCTCAGCCTCCAGGAGGCCTGCGCCATTGGGCGCTCAGTGGTTTTGATTCCTGTGATCATCCTTCACTAATTCGCATTTCTCTCAGGGTGTGGCTGGTGGCCAGAGTTTTGGGGGCGCAGCGCGTCTGGCATCTGGCGGGGTTCGCCGGTGCAGCGCGGGCAGCGAGCAGAGCGGTGGGGCCGGGGGCAGCCGGTACGGGAGAGAAGTCGGCCCCGGGCCTGAGCGCGCCACCTGCGGGCCGCGGGTCAGGGGCGCGGCGGAGACCGGGACTCCGGCTCTTCCGCCAGGGAGGAGCGGCTGGGGCGAGCGGTAGGAGAGGAGGAGGGGCCAGGTACGCGGCGGGGCGCGGGCGCCGAGAGGCAGCTCGTCAGGGAGGCTCCCGAGGCGGTGGCCTGGGCGGGAGGGCCGCCGGCAGCTGTAGGAAGAACAACCGTTCATCAGACGCTTACTCCACCGAGCCCACCCGGTAAGGTTTTTTTGAGTTTGCAGAGGTGGGTCAGAGCGCAGACTTTGGAATGACTGTTTACTGTGCACCTCTAAGCAAGTTACTTGCCCTCTCTGGGCTCCAGTTTCTCTCTCAGTGAGGAAGAACGGAATAGGACTTCTTCATAGGATTTGTGTCGGGCTCGCCGCGTGCTGTGGACCCAGGCAGTGCTTTCTGCATGTTAAATGTTATTTCCCGTAGGATAATCCCTGTCCAATGTAACCGCCCCAAGATTGGAGCTCAGACACCTCAAGTCACTGGCCCACGGCAATTCAATGGAAATGGTCCGAGGTTGAGGCCAGGAAGTCAGACTCCAGCCCAGGTCCCACTGTGCCCTAGAAGGAGGAACTCCGGCTCTGCTACTGTTTCCCTAGCAGTGAAGTAAAGACAGTAATGGTACTTAGCCCATGAGGTTGATTAATTAAATCAATCACTACACAAAGGCACCTTTTATTAGTGAGAGCTCCTCTGCCAGGGCAGATTCTTTTTTGTTTTTATTGCAGATGCATCCCTGGTGCCTGGCACAGGGCAGCCGCTCAGTAAATACTTGTTGAACAGTAAGGAGCACACACGACCTTTCATCCTTCCAGAATTGCCTGCCTGTCCCAGGCTACTGGAGAAGATAGCGCTGTTCAGAGAGGGCAGAGAATGTGCTCCAGGTCCCCCAGGTGGTCGGTGGAGAAGCTGGAATTTGAACCCAGATCTGTTCATCATGGAATCTGTGTCGTCTTTTGCTTATGATCCTGGTTAAGTCGCCTCTTGGCAGGGAAAGGTGACAAGAGTTATTTCTCCTTACTGTCCCTATCTGTAAAATGGAGGCAATAACAGTATCTACCCCGTAGGTTTTCTGTGGGGGTTAAATTAAGATGGAGCCTGGAGAACACAGCCCTGTGCTTAGCTGGTGTTAGTGCATGGCCCACAGAGAGAGAGAGAGAGAGAGAGAGAGAGAGAGAGAGAGAGAGAGAGAGAGAGAAAGGGAAGGAGACAGAGACAGAAGGAAGGAGAGACAGCACTGCAGATGTGTCACTGAGGACAGGGTGGGGACAAGTGGGGAACCAGCAGGGGACAGATGTGACAGAGGAGCTATCTTCCCCTTGGAAATTGCAGGGATACCCCAGGCCCACAGCTGGCTGTCACCTGGAAACTCTCTAGGGCCCAGCCCTCACGGCAGCGGATGTATTCAGCTTTGGGAGGAGGGCTGCAGGTTCTGCCTGTCCCAGAGGGGCCTGTGTCCAAATGCCATCTCTGAGCCACCCCCAGCTCTGGTGCCTGGGCAAGTTGCCTTGAAGCCCCAGGCCCCTCATTGTAGAACAGGAAGATGACTGAGCCCCATAGGGATGCAGGAGGGGTACCAGAACTCAGGCTTAGAAAGTGTGCAAGCAGGGCCTGGCACTCGAGGGCACCTGCTGCCCATGCTCCTGTGAGCACGGGCTTGCTGCGCCCTGCCACAGCTGGCCTGGGTCTGTGGCTGTGCAGAAAAGACTCTGCTGAGAGGGTTAAAAAGTCCCCTCCTGGGGCCTCTGTGAATCCCTAGTCTCTTCCAGGACTCCGTACCAGTCATCTCTTTGAGGGGCCAGTGCTGCCCTAACCTGTGCCCAGGCATTTCTGGGGGCCACAAGGGCACAGGACGGGAGGGGCGCCACGCTGCCTGCCTTCAGAATGGAGTACCTTCTAGTGGGGCCTGTGCTGGTGAGGGAGCCCCACCTTTTAACACTACCCCAGTCATTAATGTCTGTTCTACGTGCTAAGTGCTTTATGATCTTTAGCACTTGGGCTCCAGAGCCAGCTGGCCTGGGTTCACACTGCACTTTGGCTACTTCTAGCGATGCTGTGACCAAGCAGCCTGACCTCTGTGTTCTTCAGACAAACCCCTGTAAGCTGGAGCAGCTGTCAAGAGTGCCAAGTTCCTGGGGCTGTGGTGAGGATTCCACACAGTCAACACACATGCAGTGAGAGGAATAGTGCGAAGATAAATGGCCACCTTTAATATAATTATCTCCATTTTACAGCTGAGGAAACTGAGGCAGCTCAGGGAACCTGGTAGCTGCCAAGGACGCAGAGCTGTCCCTTCTCTTACCTCTGTCCATTTATTTCTATTTTCTTTGCTGCCCTAATTTGTGCCCCCCCATCCTGGCACTGTCACCAGCTGCTCTCTGGGCTCCCTCTTCTTGTGTCTGGGGCCAGCTCCTGCCGCCTTCAGAAAGTTCTCTCCCTCACACAGGAGCTCCCTGGGCCCTCTGATACAGAGCCTTTTCATTTACCCTTTCTACTAACTCATCCAATTAGACATATATAACTTATTAGTAGAGTTTATTTATAAATTACTTGCCTAGAAGATGATAAGCTCTACTACCGTGTCGCCTGTTGGTAATTGCTGTCCACAGTTTCACGCATGAGATGCTATCAAAAAATATTTTTGTTTTTGGTTTTACTCTTTAAAATAATTTTTAAATACAATATTTTAATTAAAATGCATTACGCACAGCCATCAATCCCCCTCACAATAATTCCTGTTGCTTCAAACTCATTTACCTATCGTTCTGGCCACATTTTCAAGCAGCTCTGGAAGCCCCGTTTTGGAGTGTTCAAGCCTAGCCTGGGCAATTTAGCAAGACCCAATTTTAAAATAAAAAATAAAATGGGCTGGGAGTATCGCTTGGTACAGAGGCCCTGGGTTCAACCTCCAATACCACAAAGACAACAATAACAAACAAGAAACACCTATACATTCTGGTGTTGTACACAGTTAGCTATACACAGGCAAAAGCATAAATTAGAAACGAAAGAAATTACCAGGGGTAAATTCCTGACTGGCTACGCGGCATAATCTTTCCACCAGCATTTTAGTCTGATCAGTTATCATCACATAGCTTACAGATTTACTAGGAAAAATCATCTGTAGAGCATATCTTGAAAAGAATCAAGAAACAGGAAGATTATGGCGATCTCATTCTTGTATGTGGTCCCTGGAGAAAGAGCAGTGAACCTTCCAGGTGGAGACATTTCCTTGATGAGTCACTTAAAGCAAAAATGGAATTATACTTTTCCTAAATTTTGGAGGCTCTGCTCTGCAGAGTAAGGCGCTGCTCTGAACGTGAACAGCACAGATGGCCTCGGTGGAGAGACGCGGCCAGTGCACACTGCGGCGCTCCGCGACTTCCCAAGAGAGCTGGCTGCATCTCCCAAGAAGGCCCTTGGTGTTCTGTGTCCCATTTCGTACCTCAGTGAGCAAGGAAGGCGCTGCTGAAGCAGCAGGCATCGCAGGCAGCCTAGGCTTGAGGCCCAGAGGGAAGCAAGCCTGGCCAGTGGGGAGGGTGAGGGAAGGCAGGGCGTGGGGGGATGAGTGGTGTCATTGGAGGCCCTCCGGAGCTGAGCCTGGTCCAGCTCTTTTTCTTTAAATGAGTCCCACAAAGATTCAGATATCAAGACAAAGACACTTGTATTGACACTTGAAAAAAAATAAGAATCTAACCCAGTCCTGTATTATCTACTTCTTTCTTTTGGTAAGACTAAGAAGTCTCATTTGCACAGAAAACCCTGCAGGAGGGATTAGCTGTCCAACCTGTGGGGTTTCCCTGCTGGAAGCTTGAGTCCCAGGTGGCTGGCACGGCCCCAGTGAGCGCTAGGACAGCTAGCACCTTCTTCCTCAAGGCACATTACCAACACTTGGGCAGCTAGCATTTGCAGGTGAGAGTTTACAGCTGAGGCTCAGGGAGGTTGAACCATTCAAATGCTAGGGTCAGTGTTTGAATCCCAGTGGAATGTGGGCTGGTTTCATGTTGCCTTATGTGTCCTTTATCTCTGCGAGGGACATGGCGCTTACTGTGTAATCATAATTGCAGAGTTGAACTGCACGGTCTAATGCTGTCCTGAGGGACCTATCTGCGCCACAAGCAGCCAGTGCCTGGGGGTGTCTGCTACAGCAGTCCTTTCCAGAGAGCGGCTTGTTGGATTAATGATTTCAGACTGTCTCTCCTGCAGGGGGAGAAACCTACGTACTTACTTCCTTATGTTTCTGAGAAATAAAATAACCTCTAACAGGGACTTTGCTCTTTTTATTGTGCTGATGCAGAGCGAACATTGATTAAAGGACACAGCCAGGATCGGGAAGAAACACACAGGTCGGAAGTCGAGTCAAGTTCTACTTTGGCAGGCCCAGGGCCATGGGCACAGCTGCGGTGTTGTGGGTAGGAGACAGATCTGCGCTTCAGCAGGTGAGAGCTGGGACAGGTTTGAGCCAGGGTGAAATAAAAACCTGGGTAAACACCTCTCTCTTCTTGGGAGCAGAGTGGCAAGCAGTGTAGCGGTAGAGCCAAGCCACCAAGGCACACAGTGTTTAGCGGGACCCATACAAAGGCTAAAAAAATAAAATTCGGGGTTGGGGGTGGGGCTCCATTGTGTCTCCCTGGCTTTGTTGAGAGTGTGAAGGGAGCCCATCTGGATATTTCTGCAGGACTCAGGGCAGACCGGAGAGACACGGTGGGAGTGGAGGCCACGGAAACGTGGGAGTGGTTACGGAGACCAGACACGAGGGCTGTCCTGTTGCTTTTTGCTGGCTGTGAGTGCAAGCTCTTGTGTTGGGCCTGAAATTGGAACCCCAGATCTCCCAGGTCCTGCCTGTGAGACCCTGGGCAGTTCCTGTGCCTGTCTGGCCTTGGTGTCTCTATCCGTACAGTGGTTAGATGCTGAAAGCGCCCCCTCCAGAGAGGCTATCAGAGCTGAGAAGATTATACAGGGTGCGGTATGCATTCAGTAAGTGCTGCTGTGACCTCTTTCACCTCCATGTCTCTGTCTTCGTCCTCTGAGTAACAGTGGTACTGTTGAAGGCATTTGAAGGTTGTGGCATTTGGGAATCTGACAGCCCAGGCTCTATACACGGCGCTGCCTGTCCGTTTATTATCGGCATTGTCATGGTTTGACTACGTTCCTTCGGCACTGGAGAGGGGAAGAGGTGCTCGGTGGAGATGGCTGTGGAAAGTAGGGCTTAGAGCTGTGTTTTACCAGGAAAAGTCCTCTCCCCACCAGACAGTATCAGGTGGAAGGCGTACACATCTTCAGCAGTGAGGGAGTCACTCAAAGAATGTTTTTACCAAGATTTCCCAGAACACAGTGACAAGTGATGACTATATTATTGCTAAGGTCCAATGTCCCCAGAGATAAGCCCCAGCTGTTGGAAGCAGCACTTCTGTAAATGAATTAATAGGGAAAGAAATGATGTTTGCATATTTTTATAAATGCTAGAACAAATTTTGTTGCTTATGTTATTTCAGTCTGAGTATTGATTGAAAGAAAAAAAACCAGACCTGTTTCTGTAATTCAGAAAAAGAATCAGGAGCTCATAGATACTATTCCTAAACTTTGATGTTATTAGCATCCACATTAAATGCAAAATAGTGCTAGAGGTGGTGGCCCATGCCTGTAACGCTGGCGCCTGGGAAGCTGAGTCAGGAGGATCACAAGTTTGAGCCACCTAGGGCAATTTAGTGACTTAATGAAACCCTGTCTCAAAATAAAAAGGCCCTGGATGTAATCCTCAGTACACAGAAATGTGGAGTGGGTGTGGGGGAGGACAGAAGGGGCAGGAAGGAGGAAGGAGAAAGAAAGAGGAAATTTTGTTCCAAGTAGAGACTGCAACTTCTCCCTCACCATATAAATGTGTCATCAGAGGTGAAACGGTGGGGATGAGAGGCACTGGCGGGCACTCCAGGAAGAGGGCTTCATTTGTCCTAAGAACTGTCCTTCCTGTGGTGAAAGGGCACCTGCGCCGCCAGTCCACATGCAGCTGGGCCAGAATGGAGCTCCAAGGACAGCCAGTAACTCTGTAGCTGTCTTAATTAAAAATGTCAATGTTTCATTTGTCCTAGATTCTGTTATGACTTGGCTTTGAGGGAGGGACTGAGGTTTGAAACCCAGCGCCTTATGCTGAGCTACATCCCTGCCCTTCTATTTATTTATGTATTTATTTACGGACAGTGTCTCACTAATTGGCTAATTTACCTGGGCTCAAATTTTTGATCTTCCTGCCTCAGCGTACCAGGGTACTGGGATTACTAAAGGCCTGATAATTTGTGAAGCTTTTATTCTGGAAATGTACAGAGGGCTGCAGACAGCAAGAGAAAGGAGTGTCCCACTGGGTGTCTCTGCAGCAGGGTATCAGCATACGGCATGTACATGGCTGAAGGAGCTTTGCCAGTTTCTTTTATGGTTTCGTAACAACCAAAGTACCTTCATCCGTGCCAGAAAGGCTCAGGCCCCTGGCCTGGGCTTAACCTGCAGGGAAAAGCCTGCAGCTGGCTGGGCTGCAGGGCAGTCATGGCACTCCAGCTTTTGGTCAGGACAAGAAACCAGGTGGGGCCTGGGGGACCCTGAAATCCTACCATACTGATATAGAGGAAAAGAAACTCCCGACCTGAAAGGTACCTGGGACAAGTTTGTGTTCTCTAAAACGAAAGGATGAATTTTAGGAACAAACAGAGCTTAAGAGCAGAATATACTTATTGGGGAAAAGAAAGCTCCTGTCTGAGAGGACAGAGGGGGGCCTCAGTGGGTTGTCCCCGGGAAGCTGTCTCTTCCAAGGACTTTTATAGGGTATAACTATGTGATGAGGTGGGTCTAAGGTGAAAACCAGGAAAACTCGCTTAGGTGGGCATGAGGTGGGACAAAACTATGGTCAAACTATGAGATTACAAGCACCATTGCTCAGGTAAAACTGATTAAATCCAGAACCAAATAGGGAAGTGAGCCACGAAGCAAGTGGGCAAGAATATAGAACAGGAGTTTATTCAGTAGGCAGCCGGTAACAGTTGGATTAGTGACTCTTTCTGGCTTCCTCAAGGTGATGACCAATCCTGGATGGTTATCTTTAGGGAGGTCAGCATTTATTCAACCTTTGGTCTTTGGGTCTGGCCCACAGCAGGAGCATCCGTCTCTCTCACAGTTGCAATGTATCTTGTCTTCCATGCTGTCTCCTTGAGGGCCTGGCCCTGTCTGACTGCCTATAATATTTCTATCTAATTTAGCTGCCGACAACAATACTCTCAGCTGTTGGGGAAGGGTTCCACACTGACCAAGACCCCAATATCAGCTGGGTGCTCCACACTTCCATTAAATTCTGACTCTATCCACCTGGAGATAGATAGATAGCCTGTCAGACCCCACAGGCTAAGGGCTTGGTCTTATGAGATTGACTCCACTTAGATACCAGTCACAAGTAAGCTCTGGCCTCTTGTCAAATGCAAATACAACAAATTTAAAGATCTTAATTGGTTTGTCTTTCTTTTTCTTTCTTTTTCCTAGCACTGGGAATTGAATCCAGGGCCTCCACACTGAACTACAGCCCTGGGCCCCCACTCCCTTTATCTTTATTTTTATTTATTTTTTTCTTTATTTTGACACAGGGTTTTACTAAGTTGACCAGGCTGGGCTCCAACATCCTCCTGCCTTAGCCACCCAGAGTTCTGGGGTTACAGGTGTGCTCCGTAGCATGCAGGTGATTCTAGAACTAAGTAACCCTTACTCTGTAAACTAGAAGTGGCAGTGCAAGAATCAGTTTGATCATGCCAAAGGTACTTTTCTGGAAAAGGCTAGAGCAGAGGAGACTTTGTTATCATGTCAGCTGAAACTGTCTTGTCCAGGAATTTGATCAGATAAATAACTTAGTTTGGTCTTGGTGGTGTGGAGTGTTAACATGAGTGATTCCATTTTGGTGTGGTTCTGTTTGACCTAGAGTATGAGAGCTCGGTCCAAACTGAAAGTTCTATTTAATACTCCAACCTCTGACTAATCAACTATAAAGTCATGGTTCCCTCCACTCTGTGGGGCTCAGTCATTTGCTTGTATGGCCTGCACAATTCAGGAAAACGTTTTCTTTCTTCACATTGACCTGAGAGGGTATGATAAACAATAAAGACAGACAGCCAGTTGGAAAAGACATAGGGCAAGCTCCAGAAAGGCGTCCAGTGCAGGCACTGCTGCTGCTGTGGAGTTGGGGTGCAGCACTAACTACAGGCTGTGCGTAGCCTGGAAGCTCCCTGGACCCTGTGTAGTTCAGAGATTTGTGTGGCAGCTTCATTATATAGGTCCGATCCCTGTCTGGCTCCTGTCTCCTTCCAACAGAAGAAGGATTGCCCGGAAAGATCCAGGTTTTAACCATGGCTTGGTGTTTCTGGTGACATCCAGCATCCACCATCCAGGAATCCACCATAAACTGTCTCATTAGAGCAAAAGAAGCTTCTATCTGCCTGGAAATTTCAAAGGATTAGGATTAGGAGCTCTATTAAAATTTAAGATTGAAGACTATTACTTTTCAGGAATGTATTATTGGGGATGGAACCCAGAGCCTTATGCATGTTAGGCAAGTGCTCTACCAATGAGCTACTTGCCCATCCCTTTGTAAATTCTTTTAAATTTTAAGACAGAATCTCACTAAACTGCTGAAGCTGGCCTTGAACTTGGTATCCTCCTGCCTCAGCTTCCCAAGTAGCTAGGATTACATAAGTGTGCCCCCATACCTGACTTCTTTTCTCTTAGTTTCAAGGGCTGGGGATCAAACCCAGGACATCACACATGCTAGGCAAGTTCTACTACTGAACTTCAACCCAGCCCTATAGCAGATGTTAGAATGAAAGATTTTCCCATCGCCCATATTGATTAGAAGATTATAAGAGTTTCAGGAGCTATATGCCAGAAGCCAGGGACAAAAATCATATGTATTGATAATATTACTATAAATCACAGTGTCACATGGGCATAAGTAGTTGTGCTTGTTTTAGGCAAGCTGTACCCGTAGAAAACAACATACTATAAAGCTTTATGTTCCTTGATCTGGGCTGCTGAAGGGAATGGATTGGAACGTCCCGGTGAGCTGAGCTATCTTTCCTGAGTGCTTTTAGCTACTCGCAGTCAGATCAGCATGTGGCTTGCTTGTGTCTGGGTCTTGTGTCCTCTACAGCTTTTAGAGAGTTGTTTTTTATGGAGTTTCTGTGTGTCTCTAAGCTTTTGTTGAAGACGCTGTACCTGGCCCTCCTATATCTCTGACCATACCTGCTTCTTACTCATGCCTGTGTGGGTGGCGTTATGAGATGATTCTTACGGGGCCAGTGTCACGGCTGCTAGCCTGCTATTTCTTTCCACTGTGTCCAAAACATGATTTTGTCTCTCAAATACCTTTTGAGGGACTTACTTTAAGCTTAACCTCAAACAATTTGGAACTTTC